GTATGGTGCTTTCTCAATCAGGACACATTTATTACCTCAGATTTCAACACCATCGACTTTGGCCTCAGTAATATTCACGTTGCCACCAAAACCCTCAAATGCAGCTGAAGTTCTTCAGGGGATGAAATACAGTAGATACTCTTTAAAATGGAAGAACCAAATACACTGAACTATTATTCAAAATATATAAGCTATCCTCAGTGGCTGGCACTCCTAAACATGCAAAGTAGCCTATGCTGCCCTATAACACAAATCATGGCCGAAAAATCTAGTACAAAACATCAGACCTATTTGTGTTATCCCAGTTGTCTCACAGGTAGTGGATGAAGTGGTAAAAGTTTAGGTATCTAATAATTTATTCAGACAGGTGCTTGATGACTTCTCACAACATGGCTTCTTTCGTATTAGGTTTTGCACTACATGTCTGATAAACGTCTTCAGCGAAGTCGCTAGCATGCGCAATCAAATGTAATTAGTGTTCATATTGTATCTTCATATCAAGAGGGCCTTTGACAAGGTGCTGCATAATCTCTTAATTAGTAGACTTCAGTACATCTGGATCGCAAAACACCTATTGGTTATCCTGCTATTATTTCCAACGCTTCTTTGGTCCATTTTATACAATTTCTTTCATTTATCGAGTCTCGAATGGTATCTGTGTTTAATTTGGTGATTATTTTGATTTATTTGCGTTATCGGTTTTCGTTTTCACTCAAATCTGCTCAACTGCTGTAACAAACTGTTCCTGTCAGTAGCATGGAGCAAACAGACTCTTGCTTCTAATCTAACTTATAAAAATTTGATCTTGCCTGTAAATTGACATTTCTCATGTAACAAATTGTTTTTTGACAGTGAACATTATCATTACTCAATCTAGGATAGTGCCATCCCAACTATTCTTCCACCATTAGCAAATAGTGATCATTCTATACCACCACGCGTGTTTACGGCTAGCATTATCAGAGATGACAAGGTTCGATGTCTACCTAAGATAATAGCTTTATAATGGTGTATTGCTGTAAAGTTGGTAAATTATGGCTTGCCAATCGGATCACAAACAGCAACATCCTTAGAACCACTAGTAAGCGTAGGTTTGTAAATGCCAGAGGCTACACGATTTGACAGGTTATTTTTATTTCATTACTATGGTCAAACTTCTTATGGTAATGTTAGTGACGCTTGTCACACCACGTTTGGAACATGGGATTCGAGCAGTGAGTTCCTGATTCAAGTGTGAGGTCAACTTGCTAAAGCGGATTTGACGACTAAGAACCAAAAATGATGAAAGGCCTCATTGATCTATCTTAAGGGAACAGACCAAGATGCCCCAACCTATTTCATTAACATTCACAGGTCTGAAACAAGTTAATTGTCTTCTGACTATTGACTTTTTCATGGAATCGCCTATAGGTAAATCTGCATAACTCAGCAAACGGTTGTAGCACCGTATTTTTACATGTTCAAAAGAAGGCGGCATCAACCGAATGAAACACGCCGCAAAAATTAACAGAGGCCACCAAAACTCTTATACTCTTTTCACTCCTACTTATTGTTACTAAAACTTTGTAGTAAAAAATATAGCAAACTGAGAAGCCTTCCGGTGGCTTGTTCACCTCTATTTACAATTATTAAATTGTGTGAGAGATGTGCTTACTTGATTTTGAATTATGCCAATCTCAAAATAACTGGTAATTTCACAAACATTAACCCAGTAGGACAAATAAACTAATTTCAGTCGATGCTGCTTGAAACTTAGAAGTGTTTATTGAAATAAGGATATAAGTAAGTATGAATTTTGTCAATACATACGAGTCCTCTTTCTTTAAAATTGATATAAATCTCTTGAATCTTGTGCAGAAACGTGCAACTAACTATGTGGTGAGTCCATGCGAAGTGAAGACGATTCAACTGAACTTCAAGAGGACCTAAAATCTATATGGAAACGGGCAGTAGACAATGGGTTACGACTTAACTGGGTTCAACGTCAAGTCATGAACATCCTGCTTAAAGTGACACAAGACTTGCGTCCTCAATGGAAGTCCGTCACCTAATGTCTCCTTAGTGTGCGATCATGGTCTACCACAAAGAGCCTAATCACCACGTCAAACGACATATGTGATTCAGTCAAAGCTAGTGGAACTCATAACTTTGTGCGAAGAAAATTTAGTTCGGTCACTCCAGAATTAGTCTTAACTCTCATTAAAGCATCCACAACCAAAACTTGGATTAAACAAAGTCATTACAACTCCTCTCCTTAAAAGAGACGATTATTCTAAATGGGTAATAAGGTTGAAAGACAAAGAGTACGAAGGAAGACTTCAACTTTCGAGACTATTCCTGCTGAGTTATAACGGAATTAGAGGTGATCCGACAAATTCATACATCACATTAACTACCTTGAATCGTCCCACTATGACGATCTTGCCTAGGCATCACCACCACGCCCCTCAAGGTAACCCTCAAAACATTGCACACCAAATGTGAACACCCAGATACGCGTCAAATTTTTCTCATCAGGAGGTATCGGAACTTGGAATGCCGTCCTAGATGAGGTGGCCACCGCCTCCTCAGTGGATAGGTTCATGAAGAGACTTGGCAAATATGTACTCATAAATGAACTATCTTCTCTCGTTTACGCCAGCTGTGCCTAATGCACGTCTCGAAACTTGCTATTTGTTATTATTTTCATTGCCCCAGACCACTAAGTTAATCTATTTCGCTTACTATCTCTACATCGCCTACTCTGCTGTCCTCCCACACATTATTCATTACCACTAAATTTACCTACAGCTAAATACAGCTGAGTGACTATACTGCCATTGATTGGAAATTAGCAAGTATCTGCAACTATGTCGAAAGGACTAGAAGCGAGAGCAAACAAGTCAATTGGTTTATACTAGCTCGTGAGAAAGATATTAAATACTGTAAAATAGTTCACAGCGTACCCGAGCAGGTTAGCGGGAGCTTGGACGTGCATGACGTGCAACGGTGGCGATGACTATCACTTAGCATGGACATACACATCATGATAGTAACTAGCATCTCCCGATTTCCTCGTACGTTACAAATCATGACTATGAAGTCAACACGTCTGATGGTTGTGGATTTCGTAAATCTAGAAGAATTAATTGAGGCGCTTCAGAAATGATACAACATGGAAAACGATATCTCCAGCCACATTAGGTGTTGAAAAGGCTGACCTTGATCTGTGAGAAAACAAGATGGACGCCAGAAGAAGCGTACCCGAATGACAGTTGACCTCAGTCAACAACCTACGGCATAATACACGAAGATGATTATCAAACTAACCGAATGCACTACACAGTCAAAAAACCTGCAGAGGCCAGTTCCCACAGAACTGACTTGTTTAAACAACTTGTCTGTAAAACCGACGGTAGCGGTCGGCAACGAGGTGCATTGGGCGATAAGGCAAACTATCAAGTGGCTCCGTAGCAACGTAAGAGAACTAAGAGGTAAGCTTTTAGAAATCAGGAATATGTGCTCCCAGATGGATTTGAAGATCATAATTCTAAGTGAAACATGGCCCTCCAATGCCATTGCAGATGACGAAGTGAGCTTGCAAGGCGTAACACTCTTTCAAAGCAATAGGGTACACCAGACATATGGAGGGGTGGATATATATATTGACAGCCACTTTAAGCCAAGAAACTGCACGATACCCAACTAACTGAGGTGAAAAAATCATGTTGATGTTCTTTCTACACAAATGGCACGAAATACTTGATTGGAGGGATTTACCGACATCCAACAGGTACTTAGACACAGATAGATAAAGTGACCGACGCAAAACTGCAACTACCACTCCTTGGGTTCGATCAAATACTCCTAGCTGGAGATTCACCTCTTTATCTCAGCAAACAGAGTAAGACTCCGATTAGTTGGTTCCAAAGACGACTTGGCGCAGACATTAGTAGCTATGGGATGAATTAGCATGTATGCACCTCCACTGGATAGACTTAGGATGGAAAATCCTCCAACTTGAATTGTTTATTAACAAATCATCAGCTCCGGGTTGAGGATGTTGATGTCCATACATCAACAGGAAGTAGCGACCATGAATCAGTCTTGTTTAACATGGCTATTTACGAAGCACACAGGCAAGACGAAAATGAGCCATACTTTCTCTACACCAGGGCGAATTACACGCGCATGAGAGAGAATCTTCTACATGCCTCATGGCCGTGGCGTTGATGTATGCACAAACGACTTTGTGAATCACCCCAGAATGATTCTTAACGTTGTTCAAGACATACGCATGCCCAGACCTTGAGGTTCACAATGCCGTTTCCTTAAAATAGACACAAATCAGTCGGATCAGATGCAGAGATGGGCAACAACATGGGTGATAGGATTAAAAGATGAAATTTATGAAGATAGACTCAAGCACTTGGGATTATTCCTTCCGAGTTACAGGAGAATCGGAGGCGATCTGATTATGGCGTACAACATATTAGGTACGCCAAATCATCCCAACATGAGAACCTGAAAAAATTTCACATCAAAGAGCAAACAGTCAGTTTTATGCACACTTTTCCTCATTAGGAGTCGTTTTGACTTGGAATGCTCTCCCAACCAAAGTAACTGCTTGATAAAACGTACTCACATACGGATTTTGATCTTTTCATCACCGAATAATTAACTAAATTATCCATTTATCTACTTATTTCTGAATTTCCTCCTTTGTATTTTGCGCATTGCATCTAACTAATCTGGGGCCTGATAATGTGCTACCTACTGACATCTAGAAACTTTACCGCCCTGAAACAAACGTATTTACCCATGTCACGGGACATACAAACAACTGGCAACTGACAAGAACCAGGCTGTCGAGTGACTAGTCCCTCATCCATTGGACACTACCAAATACCAGAAACCGTGCTGAAAGAACAAGAATCAAGTGTGAATAAATCATTTGGTTTATACTGGCTAATGAAATTGATATTGGACATTGGGTCTGGTTGAATGAGAGAAATTGAAAGGTGGCTTTCAACCTTGGGGTAACCTTCGGGATTCAATGAAGGGGACTGAGGCGGACTTCTGCTTCCGAACTCCTTTTCCCGTGTGTGATTCGGTAGAGGATGTGCCGCTTTATCCAGATGCAAAACGATTAAAGCTATGGTAAAGTTGATATTTGGCGTCCTAAGCGATTGTTTTTTCTGTTCATCTAGTGTTTCTAGTGTGTACGAAAGGATTTTCAATTCAAATCATAGACATCTTAATGGACAGAACAAAAGCAGCGATAAAACCACAACTCAAGGTGGCTATTCTTTCGGTAATCTAGTAAGAAAACCAACAATTGATTATATCCTGGGTTTACTATCTCATTTTTGTACGCATGTCCAATACATCCCCGGCAATAATTCATAGTTATTCAATCAGCCCCAAGTCTTACACATAACGTATCTCGCAATTTCGTGCATAGTTTTGATAGACTCATATCCCTTAAAGCATATTTTTGCCATTTAATTGATCATCAGTTCTTGTCGTTGGTGATCAGGATACAGTCCCATGGTGGCCAATGACCGATTGTAGGTCCATACACTGTCCGTTCCGTCAGGATTCTAGAGCCCACGTGTACCAGCGGTTTAAAATTAGGATTTTAAAACCACTAGGTGGGTCCTTCGTACCCATCAGTCCGGTTTAAGCTTTGATTGGACATTATTTTTCGTCTTCTCATACAACATTGCCGTGAGAGGGACTCTCCACACTCATGGCCACACGAAGATATTTAGATCATGTCTGTAGCGAATCACCCTTAATGTTTCGAACATATCAGTTTGCATTTGGACTTGTTCCGTGTTTTACACCGTGCTAAGTCAGTCAGCTGCAACGTAGAACTTGGTATGTATGTACATCAGTCGTATTTACGGTTTGAAAGCTGTAGTTTAAACTGACTTTTTAATCATTTGGTACATACATGCTCCTAACTTTCATTGTTCCAACGTTTGTATAAATAATACAGTGACTTCATAGTCTAATAAAATAACTGTACGAATGATCGTTGAAAAGTGTATGCCCAGTAAAAAGTCAATCATCAAACAATTTTCTGGATACTCTACTGTTGCTGATGATAGCTTTTATTGATTATTTTTTTACCAGCGTATATTGTATTCTCACTATCTTCTAACAATAGATTTTGTGTTTCAGTTACCATTCATCAGTTTAAAGACATTGAATCGACCTGGTGATATTTGTCACTATTTCCTTCAAAGTTTTGTATCAAATAATCGTACCCACTCGCAAAATATGAAGCAGTCATCAGTTTTTAGCTCTACTCCTTTCAATGGACATGCAAAATCATCATCAAAGAAAAGTTTCATTTCCTCTGAAAGGCAGATGTATCAACAACTATTGGATAAGGCGTCATCATTTTCTCGGACTCCTGTTACCAAACCTACGACCAATTTATGTGGTCCCATCACCATAAATCTAGACGACGAAATTAAGAATAATCACTCTTTATTGCGACAGTAAGTCTTTTCATCCCACCACTTTCGTTTTCCATGTCTACTATATAATTGACTGGTTAGTTCGTTCGGCTCGTTATCAAAATGGAAATATGTATTGTGGTTACTACTACTCTGATGGATGTAGGTGGTGGTGGTGTGAATCTGTTACCTTGAGAAAGACTTTTCGACCTTGAGTATGTGGATAATGTTGTATCACTGTACGAAAATTTCCAAGCTATTCAATCTTCACTTAATCAGTTAGCAGTCATTGTCATGAGCTTTGCACCTGTCTGCAAAGTACTTTTACAAGACTACCAGGATCCTAAACCTGCGCTTACTTTTGTTATTGAACAGAGGTCACAAATTCCATGTACCTGGGTGAATGCTGATGGTGAAATGAGTGATAAAATCGATCCAGGTAGTTGGGTCGACAACCTGTCAGCGAGAGCAGTTTTATTCTCTGTCTGTGAATCGCAGTAGGTCCTGATTGGCTAACTCCTGGAATTTTTAAGGATGGTGTCCATTTTTAGCAGTTAGATTGACTGAGATCTTAGATATAATTTGGAAACGGCGTAATCACATCCGACTGGTCTCAATCCCTGATTGTCCCAGTTTATAAGAAAAGACAAAAGTTCTCTTATGACAATCACAGAGGAATTAGTCTAACCAATATAATGTCTAAACTGTTAGCCTCCATAAAACTTAGACGCCTAACTAGAGTTCGTAAAGAGCAGACTAGAGAAAACCAGGCTGGTTTCAGACCTGGACGTGGCTGTATAGACCACATATTCACTACGACAGATCCTCGAACACAGACACATGAGCGTCCGACAGTAGTTGTCTTTCTACACCTTAAAGCGGCATTTGACTATGCTGATCGTGATATTCTGTGGCAGTTTATGTCATTAAAAGATGTACCAGAGAAGTACATCAACCTTATAAAATCTCTCTAACCGATTACAGGTCGAGTTAGAGCTTTTGGTTTACTGTCATCGTAACTGATTACTTCCAATGATGCCCGTCAGGGATGTCCACTTCCTTCATTCTTGTTTAATTTTGTTATAGACCTGCTTCTAGATATAAAATTATCTTTGTCTGAATTTTCAAAAATGGACCTTCTACCAGGAGATTGGTTGACTTAGAGTATGCTGATGACAAAGTTCTACTTGGTGAAGACGCTGATAAAATGTAGTGTCTTCTGACTACCCTAAGCAACAATGCGAGCATTTTCAGGATGTGATTTTCCCCGTCGGAATGCAAAATGCTACTTCAGGATTGGCTTGCGTCGGCACCTGAACTAGTGATAGAGACTGGGGCAGTTAAGCGTGTAGACCGCTTCACTTATCTTGGGAGTCTCATCAGTGCTGATGGCCTGGTGACTGACGAAAACTCGCACGGATACAGAAAGCTCGATTGGCTTTTGCCAACGTGCGTCACTTATGGCGTCAGCGAGTATTGTAACGCTCGCTTAAATAATTCCTAGCTAATTCCTATCGCTTAGTATTCTCTGACCACAATACACTGGACAAGTTCCAAAGAATCAAAACACGGTGGAACAGGAAAAGATTATATTCCAAATAGCAAGGTTAAATGGAAATAAGAAGCCAAAGGCGATGGCGAAGGCAAAATAGATACAACGTTAATGTCCCTATAGTTTTTACATTAGAAGCTTCTGGAATGTAATTCACGTGATTGACTAGCACTGACCGAATTAGATTTGACCAATCAACATGCAGCTAACAACACGAGAATTTTCCAGCCCGTTCTCCAAGTATGGGCCAGGCGCTGATTGGATAGGAAATTAGCCAGTCAGCGCGCAGTTAGCGCAGTCATGCTTTAATCCATCTATGTCCCACTAACAGTAAGACATCCGTTTGCTAGCCAAAGCACGAGTGTACTCCACAGTAATTCGCTCCGTCCTACTTTATGACTGTGAAACATAACCAGCCGGAGTATACTGTAATCGTGGGTTGCTGGTTTTTGATGATAGGTGTCTCCGAAGCATTACTCGTGTATCCTGTGATAATCGAGTAAGCAATACTGTTGTAAGGGAACGGGTACTTGGTAAGGATGGCATATCAATGAATGAAGTAGTGAAACTTCATCAGTTGAGATGGTTGGTACATGTGTTACCAATGCCCAACCACCAACTGCCTCGTCCAACTATGTTTTGCTATGTAGGAGTAGGTTGAAAGAAAACTAGAGGGGCCGAGCAAACCAAAACATGACAGAAATCCATGAAGTCAATGACAGGTGGACTGGGTCATATTGGTATGTGTCGACTACGTGGTTGGGGCCCGCGAGATGATAGTAATCAATGATTAGAGACCCTGAACGACATGGCTCAAAACCGTTTGCAATGGCGCAGGTGCATTCAATCTTTGTGTTCTCACAAATTCTTATATCCTTAGCTCCTAATAACTTTTTTCCCTTGCTAAAGTTATTTCACTAGATTATACTTTCTGAATAATATCTTCGAACCATAATCTCCCCGTTTACTGCTAATACCTTAACTATCTCTACTACTATGCGATCTGAATTGACAATTGCGTCTCTGTGCTAATGGGGTGTGGCAACATGAACTGATATACGTACGTACGAAGTCCTACGTTGCTGTTGATTGATTGATTGATTGATAATAGGGAAATACCTTTCACCTATTACTTAATAATTGCACAGTAGAAATATTAATAGTAGTTGGCCATATAATAGCTCAACAAGTTCTGACTTTTTTTAATATGAATCACGTTTTACCAGGAATCTTTTATGTTAGATATTGTTTGATATATTGATTTCTCAATGATTATCACAACCCTGTTTATGTTCTTATACTCAACAATCGAAACAAGTCCAATGATAATGCATGCAGCTGGCGAAGTCTTGATACTTTTTTTTAATCAATCTTAATAGTTGTATTGGTTCATCACCTTTGAAGACTTATAAAATTAAGCCGTTGGAACCGATCGTTCTTTTTCTCTTCAACTAATTATAACTTTCTAGACTGCTAAAAGTCATCCATTCTGGTTCCTAGAAGTTAGCGAACAACTGGTTACCAGTTTCAGTATGTCCTATATACTTGAAAATTTGATAGCTGAGTTTTTTTCTTTCCTATTTCTCAAATTAATTAGCTAGTTTCCATATCCGCTAACCTATGTCTGTTTATGGTTTCCTTAATCTTGTTTATTTTATTTTTAGATGTAATCTTTCCCCAATTCTTTCAAACAACCGAAATCAACGAAATGATCATACTAGTAAGCCTACTGTTTATTGAAAGTTCGAAAATATTTTCACAAAAAAAGTTGGTTTTATCAGGTGTTAAAAATAATAGAAATAAGGGTGCGAATTTCCTATTACTTTCATATTTCTTTTGAAAGGTTTCTCTGAGAAATAATGTTTTGGCCGCTGCTTAATTGTAACTGACTATGTTATTCGAATAAAGGGATTAAGGAGAGGAATTTATAATTAATTTATCTTGTTGTAGTCAAGTTTTAGCAGCTTTGCACAAACATTCAATGAATAAGGCTGTATCAGTAAACCAGTCATTCGAATATCCGTTTAACGTCTAAGTACCGTTTAGTTTTCTTTCTTGAACTACAGTTAGTTTCTGAAGTAAATTTTAAGCTGTCAAATGCACTAATTCATACGCCGAAAGTGACATAACGAATTGTACTTTAGCAGCAAAATATTATGTTTAGCTGAAATGATGTACACAAGTCGATTTATCAATCAGTCAGTCAGTCAGCAACATTGCAGAACTTGGTACGCCAGTTCAAGTTGCCATACCACATCAACATGTTGGCAAAAACCTGTTGAGCCTTCTGTAACCGTTCTGAGATTTCATCAGACTCAGGCTATCAAAACTGATGAGAATCCTAAGACAAGCGGAGCAGTCAACACGCTCGAATACTTCACTCCCTATTACCAGTCGAGGCACAGACGCAAGCCAATCACTGTATCATAGTACACTTGGAAACGTTTATTGTCAGCTGTCAAGTTCAAAACCATTCAGACAACTTTTGTTGATCATTTTAACGCTCAAAATTATCATCCTCATTTTTTGTCACTCTTCAGTACTTAATAATGCCGATGATTATAGGAGACCAATAAAGGTAATAAACATACAAGAGGATTAAACTTGGTCAAAAAGGTACACTCAGGTATTCCAGCAATCAGTTTAAAAGTAACCCGTACCAAACATAGGCACCTGACTTAGTAAATCGTCTAACTACGAAAGTAAGTTAACTCTCGTCCCGTTATTCCACATTATAAAAACAACTTTGTAATAAACAAATTTCCAGTATTTGGGTCGAACGTAGAGCTAACGAACGAAGGTTCGTTCGGTTTGGTCAAACTGAGATATGTGCTACTTATGAGTAGTATTTGACGCTGTTCTCAACCACTGCAGCGGTTTATGGTCAGTCTCAATATGAAATCGTCTACCTAAAAGGTACGGTCTCCATTTTTCTACTACCCACACGATTGCTAGGCACTCCTTTTCGATCGTTGAATACTTCTGCTCAGCGGGTGTGAGAACGCGACTTGCGTATTCCACCACTCTATCAGTCTGACTCAATACCGCATCTATACCATGGTCACTTGCATCTGTGGCCACTGTAAACAGTTCCCCGGGTTCAGGCAGTCGCAGCGTCATCTGACGATCGTCTAGCATGTTTTTGATTCGGTTGAACGTTTGTTCGGCAGCCTCAGTCCATGTAAACTTGGTGTTGCTCAGCATCTTATATAAGGGTGCTGCTATTTCGTTGAAATTCCTGACGAACCGACTATAGAACGCCGCTCTTCCCAGGAACTGTCTCAACTTCCTTTTCGAATTAGGTGCTGCAATATTTTTTATGGCAAGAATTTTCTCCGGTAATGGCTTTATTTCTCCATTTCCCACTTTATGTCCCAACAATGTGACGCCGGTTTTCGCTATCTGCGACTTTTCCTTATTAATTCGAAGCCCAAATTCGTCAATTCGCTTTAAGACCGCTTCCACATGCTTGACGTGATCTGTTTCCGTCAGGCTGTATACAACTACATCGTCGCCATATACCTCAACATTATCCAGATTCTTGAGCAGTAGCGTCATTAATCTTCTGAACGTAAACGGTGCACCAGCCAACCCGAACGGCATTCGTTTAAATTGATACTGTTTGTCCCGTACAGTAAATGCTGTCTTGTTGCGATCGCTACCTTTTATAGGTAGTTGCCAATAACCTGACCGTAAATCCAGCACTGTAAACACCGTGGCATTCTGTAGCCGATCTAATGTTTCTACTACTGTTGGCATTGCGCAAGGTTTCAGGTCTGTCATATTATTCAGTTCTCTAAAGTCGACACAAAATCTATACTTTTCATTGGGTTTCTTTACCAAGAGTACCGGTGAGCTACATGGGCTGTCCGCCTCCTCACTTATACCTTCTTTCAACATTTCCTGGACCTTTCGACTTACCTCGGCCTCTAAATGCACCGGGACACGACGCGCTGCAAATATATTTACTCAGTCAGTCTTTATCGGAATTTCATGCTTTACTTTGTTACAAAATCCATACGGCTCCCCGTCTCCAGCGAACAGTTTCGCATACTTTACCATTGAATGTGATTGTTGTGTCTGACACAATTTCTTAAATATACCTTTATCCAATACTCTTTATGAAGACCAAGAATATGACACAAGCGGATCTCAAAGTGAGTGGGAAGGACCGTACGTTATCACGGAGAGACGCGGCGCGGTGTACACGATCCGGAGAGAAGACAAGCAGAAGCGTGTAAATGCCAGTCAACTGCAGAGGTGGTTTCAAGATTACCAAGTGTGTGAGTCACGGAAAGAACCGAAGAAGACAGCGGTACGGAGATCAGAAAGACTACGACGACAGCTTATTAAAGGAGGGGGGACGAGTGTGGTTCGCGCTACTTATAAGTAGTATATGACTCGAGTGTAAACGTAATGTCTGGCAGCAGAAGATGGGAGAAGATCAAGAAAGGAAGAGCGGGAACACAATGGGATTTGTATGAAACGCATGAACAGTGAAATGTCAGACAATGGATTGATGTTTTGCAACAGGAACAGTCCAGTTCGATATGATCGATTGATATTTTGCAAATTAACGATTTACGATATGGTTTTTCTGTTTGATCAATTAACTCTGTAATCTGAGATAAAAACAATTCGGTTGCCCTCACCTGTGTTCTCCTTCACTACGAAACTACATTTCTCAAAGTAGTGTAAAAAGTGTTTTTTTTTGAGTGACGTACACTAAATTATATCGAAGCGAATTGTGTTAAATATAAACGGTTCTATTTTACGACATGTGGAAAAATTATATCGAAATTTCTCAGACGGTACAGCTTGTGCTTAACAGTTAAGGGCTTCTCTGGCGCAGAATAGCGTACTAAGCGGTAAAAGAATTGGTCAAGAAATTAGTGTTCCGTACCTGTAAATCAACAAGAGTTTGGTCAACAAGATGGCGTAAAATATCTATCTACAAGGATTCGAATGACCGTTTCCGACAGGCAGTTAAAGGTCCTGATATCACCGACTACTGCGATGGATGATGATGATTGGTGTGGAATTAAGTTGGGCGAAGGTTAAAGGTGGCCAAATTAAGGCATCGGGTCAATAGATGATGATACTGATTATTGTGCTGAAACATGTAGGTAGTTGCAGATAACCTGATTAGCGTCTGCGCGTTGAAACTTTGGGTGACATGGTTTACAATCGTTTTGACTGGCACATGGGGATCCGTTCTCATATAGATCCTATATTTCTAAGTTAACTTATGACATTATTTTTACTCCACAAATCCATGTTCTCTTGTGGAACCGTATCTTTGATGTTTTATCTTTATTATTAAGGCTAATAGCAGAGATAGTCTGCTATTCTGTAATTTGTTTTGACAATTTCCTCTCTCTACACTAATAATTTATGGCAACTTGAACGGTTGTACACATATATCAGGTTCCAGGTTACCTATGGCTGAATATTCAGATAATTTACTATTATTAAAATCATGGTTTCATTTGTATGGATGCGTATTTTGAACGAAACAAGCATTCCCAGTAATAGATTTTACTGTTCTGGTAATCTATATTTTTTATGTCATCTAGTTTCATCTACCTGGTTTCTATTTTTCAAATGTGAAATGCGTCTTTTTATTATTACAGTTAGTTTCCTTAGATCATTAACTAATCTACAGGACCTAAATTTTTTCTTGTAGCTATGTACTTTTGAAACTTTTTACATTATTATTATTTTTCATTGATTAATAAAATAACATTCATCTCTTGTTATCTCTGACTGAAATACCCTATTACGTTCTTAATTTTTTACCCACTTGCTTATTTCATTCTTACAGAGAACAGCTACTTAAGGATGAGGGCTAGTGTAGTTAGGTAGTGGTGAATGCATCTTCCTATCCTACATCTCACTCTATTTATTCATATTCATTTCTAATTGTTATAAACAGCTTGTTATAAAGCTAACACTATGAAAAAAAAAATAACTTTTTTAATCGTAAGAATGCAAATTCTATCAAAAAACTTTTTTTTTTCGCTTAGTTTTCTTCGCTTAAAGGTTGATTTGACTGCACTTCAGTTTCCATTATTTTTTCATGTAATCTTATTATTATTCAATTCTCTTAACAGGTACAAATCATCAAGCTTTCTCTGTCCCGTCTTCAGATACCAGTGATTCGAAAACTCGTGCATGGCTTGAAAGTTGTGCAGAATCTCCCTATTTATCGGATAATTGGCTCAATAACTTGACCTCAAGCTATCAGGCTAAAAAGAAAGAACGTGAACGAGATTATGAATTAGCGAAAGCAAACATAAGATTTTGGGAGAACCAGGTAATTTTAGTACTGTTTTATTGTCAGTTATTGTATTTCACGGTAATCAAATCAAACAATCTCGGTTATTGTTGTGATAGGATTTGCTAACCCGTCTAATTTCTATATTCATAAGTCTTCAAGAATTTATACCTTGATTTCGAGAATAATAATATATGTGAGGTTCCATGTTGTGTTTAATTAATTGACTGGTTGGTAGTAATTGGAGTTTGAAAAAATTTAACATAATGATGACCAGAACTTTATTTGATTGGTTTCACGAGATATCAATTCTTTTATACTTGTTGCCCTCCTCTACCTTTATAGACAGAAACGAGAAAAAGTTCTCCTGTCAATCAAACACAATTCAGCTCTGTGATAAAGTCATTTAATACTGTGTATTTAAGAAATAAAGCAGTTTTAATAAGATTGTAGTATGCGTTTACTAGCCAATTCAGTTAGTTTGCTCTTAAGGGATAGTATTGAACCAGATAAATGATCTTAATTATTTTCTGTCGCTGTTTAACGTTCGTTTTAAATGTTACGACTAAGCTAACTGATCTTCAACAAGTCTATTGGCAAGTTTAACCTAGAAGCAGCATTTCTGTCTGAAGTTATATTCGTCTTGATCTGATAATTGATAGCTCTTGTTTGAATTCTTCTTATATACATCCAATCATATAGTGTGTTAAATGTTCTCTTCATGTTATGAGAATCAAATCGTATAGGTATTTGAAATCCAAGTGATAAGTTCAATCATTATTAGTCTTCTCAAGGTTAATTTGTATTTAATGATTAACTAATATTTTCACAGTCTCGATACTTGCCTTCATTGCTTAATTATTTCAGCGTGCTTCAGCTGAAAAAAGACGTATTGACAATCTTGAAATGAGACTTGCTTGTTTATTAAGAACACCTCCTATTCTAGAAGATCCATATTTAAAACCTCAGCCTATTCCTATTGAACTGCCGTACAAACCTGTCAAAGTTAAAGAACCTAAAATACCAAGTCTTCCCGGTACGATTTTTCTTCATTTATCTTGTATTTGCTAGTTTATGTATAGTTTGTCTGTTTAATTAATAATCTTGATGGTGTGTAAATTATGGAAGCTTGATATCACTTATCTAATTAGTTGATGGTACATATGAATACTATTATATCGTAACAAGGCTGTAATGATTTAACCGATTACCACCCATTCTTCAATTGTATGTCGTTTGTATGTGTGTGTGTGGGGGGGGCTTTGTAGATTTTTCGCCCATTGTATGTTTTGTAATGTTAGTAGAATCAGACTAACAAGGAATCACCTAAAAGGCCTTGTTTATTTAGGTTTACTGTTATATAGTCAATAATGCGTGCTCTAAAACTGATGTTCTACCTAAATTACCATGTTTCGCTTAATTTATAGAAAAGTTTTTCAAGGTGCTTGAAAATTTTTTGTATAAAAAAAAACGTGAAATCAACTGAAATTCGAAAGTTTATTTTAAGGGTTAACCGTTCAGTTACGTTTTCCGGTTTCAATTTGATTTTAGCACTCTTGTAAGTAACTTACATACCTGAAGTGAAACTTCGCTCACAGCTGTTTAGGTTACAGTGTACTGTAATTTATTTTTGGAAGTAGTTTACATCTAATATTGACGTAACTTTCGAATGTTATTTTTACGTGATATTGAAGTTGTGATCCCATTTTTTTTAAACACTTTACTACCTTCCATTGGGTTCAAATAGACATCATTTGTCTGATCACAAACCTTTAAGCATTCACTTCTAGGTCAGTTTGTTAAACACTAAGGCATACAGTTTTTAAATCACTTCTTATTCCAATTTAACGGTTCCGCTTGTTTATATACAAGTTACTCTTTTCGGTATCTGCAAATGTGAACAAGGAAGCAGTATTTAATTACTCTGACTATATAATCCCTCAGTTTTGGCCACATTTTCTTTACTTCAAAAACACTCCATCGTTACGTGAATTGTAGATTAAGATATTGCTTGATCATTTGTAGATTAAGATCTATGTTTGCTAGTTTTGAGACTGGCATTTTCTCAACTCCCCTTTCTGTCTGTAAGAAACGTAGTTGGATTGCATGTTCCACTAAATATTGCTTGAATATACCATCAAAATAATCACTATCAACCGTTACATTAAGGTATAACTACTATGATGGGGAATAATGCATATTGGATATTAATCAGTCAGCCATGTGTGTCTGTTCTTTAAGATACTGGCAGTGATTTTCTCCTAGTATATTACACTGGCGAATAGCAACTGACCAGTTCAACTGGTTCATTACTTAAGTAATCTACTTTAAGTAGTAGTACAATTTCATTCATGTTTTACATGGAGTAAACTTGGTTCAATATTTTCCAGGTGTAAGAGCTGTTGATTTATTATTATTCTTTTGTACTTTCGAAAATGTAGTTCAAAAATGAATCTCCCTATTTTATTATTATTATTATTATTATTATTATTATTATTATCATTATTATGTGTTTTAATCTTGATCTCTTAGTTTTAACTGCACCTCAACTGGCTCAAATTGAAGCAGCTCTTCGTATTGGTTCTCCAGATGAAGTACTTGTAGATAAATTTAAATTAGTTGTTACACGTCGTGAATTAATGACACTAACTGGAACAAATTGGTTAAGTGATATGGTCAGTTTAATATATATATATATATATATATATATATATATATATAAATTAATTGTTACTTTTAAATAACATCTTGTAAATCATCTAGCCATTGAAAGCGATAATTGTTCATGTTAGTTGAATGACATTCTTTTAATGTGAAACACTTTATGAGGAAATTAATAGAGAGGTTTTTGGGAACCTTTTTGAAAAGATGAAAGTCTATAAGATCATAGAATTAAATAAAATGTTACTTAAGTTTTTATATTCATGCACATCAAAGAAAGTTTCTCAGCTAATTTAATGACTGGTCAATCAAATTATAGTTTATCCTAATTATAATATTGATGGCTGTTAATTAGGTGACATGATCTTCTAACATGAGCGAAACATGGCCGTTAAGAGTAGAGGACATTCGTTGGTTACTAGTCTTCGATCATAGGTGTATTCGAAGCATTGCTCGTGTATCCTGGGATGACCGAGGTAAGGATGGCAAATCAATAGATGAAGTAATGAAACTTCACCAGTTGAGGTGGTTGGGACATGTATTATGTATGCCTAACCACCGACTGCCTCGATGAGCTATGTTTTGTGGTGTAGGAGTAGGTTGGAGGAAAGTCAGGGGCTGCCAGACCAAAACATGGCAGCGATCCATCAAGTCATTGACAAGTGGACTGAGTCATGTTGGTAGATGTAGGATTTCTGGTTGGGGTCCGTGAGACAAAAGTCACCAATGGTTAGAGACCTTGAACGACATGGCTCATAATCGTTGGCAATTGAGCAGTTGCATCCACTCTTTGTGTTCTCTGAAATTCTAACCTTCTCAGTTCCTCATCATCTCTATCTTTCTCCTTCTAAATTTATCTCACTGAATTATACTTTTTGAATCATATCTTCGCACCCTAATCTTCTTCATTGCTGTTAATAATTCTACTATCACTATCACTCTTGGATTTGAACTGACAATTACGTCTCTGTGCTGACTTGGTATGGCAACCTGAACTGATGTACTTATGTACGAAGTTCTGCGTTGTATCTGTCTGTCTGTCTGTTTGTCTGTGATCAATCAAGCATACAATTCCAAAATTGAAGTCCTGTTCTTTTGTAACTAACCATTTTGAACTCACAATTTTCTTTCAATATGGAATGCTGACATCGTGTAGTTCAGTGGTTAGTCATTTGTATCATTCTGTTACTAGAGTATTTTTCTTACAAGATACATTCAGTCTTCATAAAAGTTACTCTAGTATGCTTTATACAGTTTCAATTAGTCTCATTAAGCTAACGACTTTTCTTCTTTAATTTGATTTTTGCCACTAAGGGGTATACATATAATGGTGTTACACTTCATCAAAAAAATTCCGATTTCTTGTTAAACTCCTAATTTGCAAACTATTTTCCATACTTCTATTTATTTCACAGGTAATCAATTTCTACTTACAACTATTACAGCATCGAAGTCAACGTCAAACAAATCTTCCTCGTATCGCTGTTTTATCAACATTTTTCTATGCAAAGTTAACATCATCAGCAGGTGGAGGCTATGCAGGAGTACGACGTTGGACAAGACAATTAAAGTTATTTGATCAAGATATTGTACTGATTCCAATTCATGATAGAGGGATGCATTGGTGTTTAAGTGTAAGTATATGATTAAATTGACTAGTGAATTTATGGTTTTTCGCGTTATATACTTCTAACGACATATTTATTGGTTATGTACACTAATTCCCCACTTATTTCATTTTAGGCATTCAGTCATTATCTAAAACTGTTTTTTAAAAGGGTATCACTGAAATTTCCGAGTTTATTTTATTCACTATACATACGTTCTGATACAATCGAGTATCAGAAATTGTATGTACCCCATATTTGTTTGCATAGGTGGTGAGATGAAGGTAATAAAGGTTGTCATTTATCACGTGAGTGGGATAGGGTGCTTGGTACCTGGGTGTCTATACTGAGATAGGTTGTTTTCTTAGAGAACCACTCCTTATCTTGGATGTCCAATCCATAAGGCAGTGAAGAAAACTAAGTGATTCACTCCCATGCTAGATTGTGACCAAATTAGTTCTATACACTGTTTGTTTTCTCAGGACACTGAAGTCGGTTTACACTATTGTCGTGAAATCAAGATTTTTCCAACTCCTCAAGGCAAACTCTCAGTCAATTGTAACTGACTGACTCATCAGTGCTGGTGGCCTGATGACTGGCGAAATCTCATTAGGGATACAGAAAACTCCACTGGCTTTAGCCAGCGTGCGTCACTTATGGTGAGATATCCGTTTGCTAACCAAAGGACGAGTTTACTACACAGCAGTCCGCTCTGTCCTACTTTATGGATGTAAAGCATAGCCAATAAGAGTAAAAGATGATCGTAGGTTACTGTTTCTCGATCATCGGTGTCTTCGAAGTGTTGCTCGTTTATCTTGGGACTGTCGAATAAGCAATGCCGTTGTTAGGAAACGGGTACTGGGAAAGGATGGCAGATCAATAGATGAAGTAGTGAAACTCCGTCAGTTGAGGTGGTTTGGACATATATTACGAATGCCTAACCACCGACTACCTCGTCGAACTATGTTTTGTGGTGTAGGGGTAGGTCGGAACAAAGCTAGATGGGGAGGCCTACCCAAAACGTGGCGTAAATCCATGAAGTCACTGACAAGTGAACTACCTGGTTTGTGTTCGCGAGATGATATTAGTCAATGGTTACAGATTTTGATATGACTCGAAATCGTTTGCAATGGCGCAGGTGCATCCACTCTTTGTGTTCTCTGAAATTCTATTCTTCTGAATTCCTTATCACCTTTATCTTACTATTTTTAAGTTTATTTCACTAGATTCTACTTCTTGAATAATATCCTCAAACCCTAATCTTCTTCATTACCGCTAATGATGTGGTATGGCAACCTGAACTGACGTACTTATGTACGAAGTTCTGCGTTGTATCTGTCTGTCTGTCTGTGAAGTAGTCGAACGTGTAGACCGCTTCACTTATCTCGGGAGTCTCATCAGTGCCGATGGCCTGGTGACTGACGAAATCTCAGCTCGGATACAGAAGGCTCGATTGGCTTTTGCCAACCTACGTCACTTATGGCGTAGGCGTGATATCCGTTCTCTAATCAAAGGACGAGTGTACTGTGCAGCAGTTCGCTCCGTTCTCCTATATGGCTGTGAAACATGGCCAGTGAGAGTAGAAGATATTCGTAGGTTACTGGTTTTCGATCATAGGTGTCGTCGAAGCATTGCTCGTATACCGTGGGACAACCGAGTAAGCAATGCTGTCGTTGGGAAACGAGTACTAGGTAAGGATGGGATAGCAATAGATGAAGTGGTGAAACTTCATCAGTTGAGGTGATTGGGACATGTGTTGCGTATGCCGAACCACCGACGAACTTTGTTTTGTTGTGTAGGAGTAGGTTGGAAGAAAGTTAGGGGCGGCCAAACCAAAACATGGCAGAAATCCATGAAGTCATTGACTAGTGGATTGAGTCATGTCGGTAATTGTCGACTACCTGGTTGGGGTCCGCGAGATGATAATAATCGATGGTTAGAGACCTTGAATGACATGGCTCAAAATCGTTCGCAATGGCGCCGGTGCATTTATTCTTTGTGTTCTCTCAAATCCTAATCTTCTGGATTCTTCAACACCTCTAGTTTCGTCTCTCTAAACGTTTCTCACTGAATCATACTTCTTGTATAGTATCTTCTAATCCTAACCTCTCCGATTACTCCTAATACCGTTACTACCTCTTCTACTATTGGATTCGATTTGACATTTGCGTCTGTGTGCTCATGTGGTATGGCAACATGAACTGATGTACTTATGTACAAAGTTCTACGTTGCATCTGACTGACTGACTGACTGTTTGTCTGTCATTACCGCTAATACTTCTACTATCTGTATCATTATGGGATTTGAACTGCCAATTGCGTCTCTGTGCTAATGTTGTATATAAGTACGTAAGTACGAAGTTTTACGTTGTAGCTGACTGAATGACTCAGTATTTTTCCAACGAATTTACTTCTAAGAGATTATTGGTCAAGTGACGTTTACCAATAGTGATTATAGCGAATTGAATGACTGACTGAACTCTCAGTATTCCCCACCCTGGGTTAGGCGCTAAACGTTCGCTTTTGGTCTTTTTATTAACCTGAAATCACCTCTACCTCTTGAACACAGTGCTTAAGACTTTCTTAATGTGGTTCATAAGTGAATTGCCATCTGAGAGTGAGTGGACTTCCCCTACCCTCAGTTGTACTAAAGGACTTAGGTCACTTTAGGAATAGTCAAAATACCTCACTGACAAAATCTGCATCCTAGCACGCCTAATTAGGGATAATCGAAGTGTTCTACATTTTGTAGAGCAATGGCAACCTTCCACCTGGAGCTAGGATATTCGTTACCAATCTCTTCTCTACTCACATACATAAACATATTGTTAAATACTGAGCTAAATTTCAAGTAAATACTCTCTTTGATAAATTTTTCTAATTCGATGGAAGAACATAATTTATCAAAACTACATGTAGTTTTGTAAAACGAATTGATGAGACAATCGATTTAGCTGTAATCAATAAGTACATCAATTCAAGTTGCCATAGCACATTAGCACAGAGACGCAATTGTCAATTCAAATCCCATAGTAGTAGAGGTAGTAGAAGTATTAGCAGTCATCAAAAAGATTAATGATCGAATATATATGTATATAGGAATCAGTTAAAAAAAGAGAAAAACGGGTCAAGAGTAATTCAGAAGTTTAGGTTTTATGAGAACACAAAGCGTGGATGCCTCTGCGCAATGCAAACGGTTTCGAGCCATGTCGTTCAAGGTCTCTAACCATCTCGCAGGCCCCAACCACGTAGTCTACATTTACCAACATCACTCAGTCCACATGTTAGTGACTTCATGCATTTGCGCCATGTTTTGGTTTGACCGCCCTCAGGTTTCTTCCAACTTACTCTTGTGGTGCTGTGGTGCGAACTACTTATAAGTAGTATATGACGTGAGCGTCGACGTAATGTCTGGCAGCAGAAGATGGGGTAGATCAACAAAAGAAGAGTGGGAACAATGGAATTTGTATGAAACGCATGATTAGTGACAATGGATTGATGTTTTGCAACAGGAACAGTCCAGTTCGGTATGATGAACTGTTATTTTGCAAATTAACGATTACGATATGGTTTTCCAATTTTACTGAGTAACTCTGTAATTTTCGTTAAATACAATTCGGTTGCCCCACCTGTGTTCTCCTTCACTACACTCTTACACCGTAAAACATAGTTCGACGAGGCAGTCAGTGGTTAGTCATTCGTACTAGAAGTGGGTGGAATTATTCTTACCCCTTCAGCATCATAAATAAAGCTTGATAGGTATAGCTGTTCTAAACCGAATTGTGCATAAATTTTAACTGATGCTTAATAACTATTGATATCTGAATGTATGTAAGTAAAGTAATCGTAATGTTAGTATAGTGTGAGTGAGTTTATAGTTTTGCTTTTGCAATATCAATCTGTTGTTGTAATTCAATGCAATGTATCTATTTGTAATGTATGTACATGTTAAATTCATCATCTTGAATATTTGTATCTGATTAAATTCTATATATATCTTGTTCTTTTTTTTATCAAAAAACAAAACAATCCTTTCAAGTCTATTGATTTACGTGCCAAAACGATAACATATTATGATTCAATGGGTTCTAGTAATATGAAATGTTTGGAAAAGTTAATGTAAGTTTGTTTTTTTTAAAAAAATTATTTTCTTTGATTATTTTCTATACATCTAACTACAAATTTTTGTGTAAATTTGTTTTCAAAAAAGCTTCATTCATGGGCAAAGAATAGTTCCAACATGTGTTTGTTAGTCTATTATCAATCTAATCTAGGCTGTTATTATGAATGTATTGTTTAGACTACTACTAAAATTTCTGTATAATAATATTTTACAGT